ATGATACTACGATATTTTCATCATCTCCACTCCCTCGAATCATGCAAGAGACCCAAAATTTTCAACCAAATCCATGCCAAAATCCTCAAGTAATTCCCCAACCTCCAGCTTCCTGCCATTTTTCACTACAATGTCCTCATCTGCAGCCTCGTTGTCAAAAAATCCCCAATCAAAGCCCATGCTTTCTCTATTGTTCCCTACTTTAAACTCAAACATAGCCCAATAACTTCACCTTTCCTTTTTCACCTCAAAGCATGCTCCTCCTCCTCCCTCGTAGCCAATGGCTTCATTCTTCATGTCCACGTCAGAATTGGACTCAATTATGACCCATATATCCAAAACAGTCTCATTCATATGAATGCTGCTGTGGCAAAGGACGGTGTTTTGATTTTTGTTCTATTCATCAGATTGTTTGCTAGAATTTGATGTTGGATGGGCTGGTCAAGTGTAGGGAGGTCGAGCTTGCGAGATTGGTCTTTGATCGTATGGGGTGCTGGGATATTGTTCATGGAACACGATGGTTAATAGGTATTTGCTTGTTGGGGATTTAAAGAAAGCCCATGAGGTGTTCGATAAAATGTTGAGGAGAAATTTGGTTTCCTGGAACTCAATTCTCTCGGTTATAACAAGCGTGGAGATGTTGAGGGAGCTTTGAGAGTGTTTAGAGAGATGCCTTGTCGTGATCTTGTGTCTTGGAACACAATGCTTGCTTGCTATGCACAGAGCGGGAATTGTGATAAAGGCGTTTGAGTTGTTTGATGAGATGCATCGTTTTAGTGTGAAACCGACTGGTGCGATTGTGGTTAGCATGATCTCGGTTTGTGTGTATTTAGGTGCATTGGACCGAGGAGAGTAGGGTCCATAAATTCATAAAGGAGAATAAGGTTGAGCTCAATACAATTCTTGCCACTACACTCTTGTTGATATGTATGTAAATTGTGGGGGGAGATCATATCGCGAGCAAACCAAATTTTTTTATGCTATCGAGCATAAAGATTTCTTAGCTATCATCACCATAGAGCATTATTGTGGTGTGGATCGGATGAGGATGAGCTGATTGTGGTACGGATTTTTACTGCATGACGTAAGGGTAGTCTGCTCAAATAAAAAGAGCTGGTCACAGATGATGCGGTCAAAGGTCGTGGGAGATGGAGCAGTCGGCATAGGATTGAGGGTTGGATCACTAGCTATGCGGTACTTCAATTAGAGAGGATACAACATGTATATTAGTACTAAAAAATAATAATTAAAAATTTTGGCTAGCGAAAGTTCACAGGTTGGGATGAGTGGAGATCACATGATTATTTTAGTAGGAGATTTTTGTAGTGAGGAAAGAGATAAAAGCTCTGACTTATTATTTTAGTAGGAGATTTTTGTAGTGAGGAAAGAGATAAAAGCTCTGACTTAGGCCTAGAAAGAAGACAAATAGAACAAAAGGCCTAGGAATTTGAGATAGAAAGTTAGGTTGTTGGACAACTCTGATACTCTTTAGAAAGGGGGTTAGTCACCTTGAACATTTTTATAGAAATTGAAATAATTGTTAAAAGTGAGATAATTTTTTAAGTGAGATATTTCATTGAAATAATTGTTAAAAGTGAGATAATTTTTTAAGTGAGATATTTTATTGGGATAGTTAGGAACAATTTTTTGAAGTGAGAAACTTGTGGGATAATTTGTACAATCTAAGCATTTGATGATATAACTATGACTTACATATTTTTTAACTTGCCATTATTGATTAGTAGATGTTTGTTATAACATTAGTTATTATGGAATGACTTTTGGTAAGACTACAATATATTTTTAATAACTATTATAATAATTTATAAGTTCTTATTTTTTGAATTGTTATTATAGTATAAATCTAAAAAATAATTTATTTCCCTATTTTCTTTTGTTTACTCCAAGTCTCTTCTTTCATATCTCAATTTTAGTTATATTTAATATTTTATAAATTATGGTGTTATTAAGTTTTACTTTAAACTAATCTGATGATGGCAGTGATCATTGGAGGTAAAGAGAGGGGATGAAGAAAAGGAAAGAAATGTGAAAAATAATAATCATGATAATAAGAGAATTCTACCTTTTTACCAACTAGTTCTAGGGTAAAACTTGTGATAATTTGAGATACTAGAACTCTCACTTTTATGTAGAGAAATGGAAAAAAATAGGATAATGTTGTACAACTATCACAGTTCTAATTGACTAACACAATATAATTTTTTCCTAGTTCTAATTCTAGCTAACTAACATTATAAAATTTTATCTAAAAATTATCTCAATTCTAGTTTTGAGTTCTACTTGACTAAGGAGAAGAGGTTAGGGTATTTCTTTTTAAGGCTCCGGTGAAGGGGTTCTGTCTTTTTTCTTCTATGTTCTCTATTCTCAGAAACACTCTAATTTATAGAGGCTTTCTTCACCCAATCACCTCCACCCCAAATCAGCCTCAAAATAATTCTTATTAATTACAAAATAAAAGCTATTTAATAGCCAAATCAGATCTCATTAACAGCCTAATAAATGGTCATTCTTTTCTCAATTTGTACTCATGTTTTTTGTTGTGGTGAAGAGAGTTCTTTTTCTTTTCTTTTGTGTTTTCTATTCTAAGAGAACACTCCAATTTATGGAGGCTTTCTTCACCCATCCACCCCCAAATCAGCCTCAAAATAATTCTTATTAATTACAAAATGAAAGTCATTTAATAGCCAAAATTAAATCTCATTAACAGTCGCAAGTATGGCCATTATTCTTTTAATTTGTGCATATGTTTTTGGTTGATTTGGTCAATCATTACTAACATGTGACTCATTCAAATTCTCCACTCTATATATACATACACAAACCCTAACATAATATACACTAGCAATTCCTTGACAACACTATCATGGCTGACCATCAAATTCTTCGGATCCTTATCATTCTATTCGCGATAACTTCAGTTGCTCAGCAAGCAACATGCCAAACATATCCCCCTGGTTATGAGTGCATTAAAAAGTGCAAGACTGCGCTATTTTCTTGTTCTTCTGATTGTCAAGAGACTTGGGTCGATTGTGAGAGTCACTGCCAGGATTCTTCTTCAGGAGCTTCCAACAATATTACAACTCCAAAACAAATAGGGATATAATTTGCAAATGCCTGCTACTATTACTATAACAAAATGTAATAACATTATAAGGATATGGAATAAGGATATATCTTAGAATAAATCTAAATTTATTTGGAAATGACACATTGACACGAGGTGTTCTATGTGTAAGTTTGTGTTTTATGTGTATGTTTTGTGGAAGGAGTGCTCTTGTTATTTGTTGTTAAAAGGTGAACGAAAAGTTTGTAGGCTCTCATACGCATCACAGAGATGCTCATTGTTATATAATGGTTAATTAGTCCTGATATCCAGTGGGTAACAACTTGACTCAGCTAAAACTAAAATCTAATTTTAAAAAATGTATAAGGTTGGTATACTGACAGTTATACTAATAACAAAAAATAAGGTTAAATATTTTTTTAATGAAAAAGAAATAGAATAAATAAATTAAAAATAATCTGATTGTTCTGAGTTGATGAAAGATGCTCCAATTTGAGCGAAATTGTTACTTAGTAGTGTTGATTGAACAAGTAACTCTCTGATCCGAGTTGGTGTAGCTTGTATTTGAAAAGAGTCTTGTGGGTAGAGTCAAAGATAATTTGATCAGATGATAGTTGAGGTCGGAGGTGCTGTGATCGGTGTTGAACTGATTTGAATTGCTAGGTTGAAGGTGGTAGCCGCTGGTTGGCGCCAATCAAAAGTTTGATTGTGAAAGTACTCAAGGAAGAGGCAGAAGATTCCTTTTAAAAAACACTTTTGAAGAGGGGACTTTCAAAAATTGAATAAAAAAAAGAAAGAGGACAACAGAGAGCCATGTTCTCTGTTGGAGGCTTGAGAAGAAAAAGAAAAAAAAGGCTAGCTAAATTGTGTACTTGCTTTGCTAGGTATGGGGAAAAAAATAAACAAATGCTTAATAGCTAGAGGTGGTACTTGGCAGAGACATGGGAGGAAAAATAATAATAAACGAGTGGTTTAAGAAAAAAGTTTGCTATAGCTATAGCTTAGGTACTAGCTAGGTTATTTTTTGAGCCACGAGCTAGGGAAGACCTCAAGTGGTTGAAGAGAGGGTGCTTCTTCTTTGTTGGGAAAAAATAGCAGCGGGATTTGAAGATGGTGAAGAACCTTTTGCTCTGATACTAGTGAATAACGAAGAAATTTAGAGAAGAAGAAGATTTAAAGGGGGCTCCGGTGAGCTATTTTCCTTTTTTTTGTGTGTTCAAAGAGTAAATTTCCACTCTTTATATAGAGGCATTTCCTCAACTCCTCTCCACCCCCTTAGGAACTGCCTCAGATATTCTCTCCCTATTTTTCCAACTCATCACCCCCACTATCTCAATCCCACGAAAATCTCAGTTCTTGAGACTAAGTTGGGTGATTTGATTAAATATGGATTGACTCAAGTTAACAGTGGTGAATGTCAACACGGATTACGGACCATTACTGGCAAGTCTGCATCTCAGTGGTACATTCAGCATGATACAATCTTGCTTTCTTGTTATGCTTGTCATGGCTGCATCTCTAGGGAGACGACAGTTGATTTCTTAGGGAGACAGCTCCATAATAATTGGTAGGATTGACATTTTGGTCTTTTATCCTTTTCCTTTTAAAATGTATGTCTATTGAGTCTCATTTCAAACTTATTTTTTGCAAACCATTGTACTGTGAGCTTTCATTTTTGTGGGCGGAAAAAAAAATCTAGCAATACCTTCTTTTTTAAGATAAGGCACACAACATAAGCTATAGGGAGGTATCCATTTTTTTTATAAAACATCCAATTTACAAAAACTCAAGCATCAGCCAGAAGATTTTTTTTTTTCACCCTCGATTGTCAAAACATTGATCTGTGATATAGTCGTACATAATACAGAAAAATAATTCAGTCTACTAATTTCTATACTTATTCACTTCCATCCAGTGTGAAGCTGTTGGAAGAGTTGCAGATATAATTCAGATTCCAGCGTTCCTCTGCCGACAGGTATTTGAGCACATTTTTCCTAGATACATTACACAGCGATATGTTATATTCTTTACTCTTTATACCTTTCTGTAGTCAGCACGTTTCTGAAGAAACTTATTATCTGTTTTGTTTTCCTAATACAAATTAGTTCTCCCAATGTGACAGACTGATCTCTTAGTTGCAGCCGCCAAGACTGGGAAGATTATCAATATAAAAAAAGGCCAATTTTGTGCTCCTTCTGTAAGTGGTGAAATGATACATGCTATTTTCAGGACGTTCTTGACCTGTTGGTGATGTTCATTTCATAATATTCCCTTCATAAAGTGCTTAATGTCTAGTAATTAAGACTACAAAGTGCCTTATTTCTACATCTGATTGAATGGATTTCCCTCATCATTTTAATATTAGAACTGACACATAACTCCATGGAAATATGGTCGTCGTTATTGTCTTTTCTTTCTGGTATTTGACAGGTCATGGTAAATTCTGCGGAGAAAGTTAGGCTTGCTGGAAACCAAAATGTGATGGTTTGTGAGCGAGGCACAATGTTTGGATACAGTAAGTCAATTTTCATTGTACTATCTCGGTCTAAGAGAGCCATCTAATGTGTTCTTATGCTTTAAATATTATACAATGCCTGTCAACTTCTATCTTATTTTTATATTTCTCTTAAAATAATTTGGAACCCTTTTGTTGACTATAAGCTAACCTTATATCGAAATTTTTAGTAGGTTTGAAAATCAAGATTTTGGTGAGATTAAATTGTCTTACTCTCTTTATGCAAAAGAATAGTGCCAACTTTTTGCAGAATTCTCTTTTTTTTATATATGGTTATGCTATCAAAACCACGTAGTAGTCTCATTATTTTTGAGTCTTCTATAAAGAATTCTTTTGTGCTTATCTCCAAGAAAAAATTTATTAGTAAGAAACCTCTCTTAGAACTTCCTGGACCCTACTTGGAAGAACCACTTGAGGATGAAGGAGAATATGACAATGTTGAATTTCCCAGACCCCAACTCACCATGCATGTTATTTGTTTATTTGTACATTTTATATTGTATATCTACTTTATAAATTTGTCAAGTAACACCGTAAGTGATATGAAAACGTGTTCATATTCCAAGTTGGTCCTTGATTTGATCTTGTTGTTTGTTAGTTTCATCATTTTTAGCTACAACATTTGAAATGCCTTTAAAAATATGTCTACAGTGTTGCCTTTTTCTTATCTCCATAAAAGCTTGTTCCTTCTTTCAAAATAAAGATGCCTGGATACCTAAGTTGCACAGGTGCAGGGATGGGTGCGGGCACGGGCACGGTACATGGAAAATTTGTATACGGGGACATGGGTGAAATTCATGTGATATAATCATAGTTCTGAGCTATATATTTAAACAACCATTCTAAGTCGTTGCTCTTAATAATGAAACAAACTTGACCATTATCGAACTAGTTACAAAAACAGATGGAAGTGTAGGATATATATACACGCGCGCGCGCACACACACAAGAAGTGTATGACGAGTGTTTTAAATTAAACATGCATTATATAATTGAGTACATGCCCGAACAAATACATGCATATATTTAAGGAGTGTCCAAGAAGTATCGGGTACGAGTTTGACTTGTACGGGTACAGATCCATATTAGAAGTACCCATGTAACATAGCTGGATACCCTCTTACAAACCATTGTGCTTTGCACGATGGATTTAAATTTCTGGTTTTAGATTATTGCTTTTTATTGGTTTGACTATGCTTGGATAGTTTTGATGTCTGCATCTTTGTACAAGATTGTGTCAGTTACACATGCCTTCACTACGTTCAGAATGAATATGCATTACCTTTCTGTTTTAACTAAAGTGCTACGTGTGTGTTGAATTGGCAATCAATTTCTTTATAAAAGAAAAATTCTCACACCATTTTCACCTTTTAGATGATTTGATTGTTGACCCCCGGAACTTCGAATGGATGAGGGAAGCAAATTGCCCAGTTGTAAGTTTTCATTGACTTTTATTTTCCTGTTCTATTGAATCCATGTATTGTATGCACAAACCTTTTCTGATGCTCGTGTATATCAATTACATGCGTGAACTGATGTTTTGTTCTACATACTATGATATTTTCACGGTGTTTGAAAGATCATGAAATATAAATTCTTGTTTTGACATTGTTTTTAGATTATAGCGATGTATGAAATTCTGTCTGGTCATTTTACGCCCTTTACAAGAAAGGAATGTACTGTTTTGCTATGTTCTCCTTTGTCCTGAACCCTTATGTTCTCCTATGTAAGACAAACAATGCATGTATAGGAGGATTGTGTGCTATTATATTCTACATGCTTATGTTTAGGCTTCGGGAACTAAATGCTACTTTCAGGCATAGAAGCTTTATTATATAACAAAAGGAAAATATGCAGGAGTGAGAGATGGAGTGAGAATATAAGGTTATCGTGGTTGATAAATTTGAAAATTTTAGGAATGGGAAGTAGTGTTAAAAATGTTCACTTTCTTTTGTTCTGTTTTGTTCAAAAGTTGTTACACCTTGCTTTAAAGTCTAAATCACATGATAAGCTTCTATTTTCTTCTAATCTGTTTTCATTATTCAAACTGTACTCTTGTTCATTAAAACCATGATGATATGCTATGAACTAAATTTTTATCCAGTGCTATTTTAATGAAACCAGGCTTCAATTAATCATGATTTTGCATCTTTGGTAAACTTAATTCATGGATACCTGGGATCATAGTTTATCCGCAGAATGAAAGTCATGGCATGCCTTATCAGTGTTATTTCCAAAGTGTTTGTACTTTTTTATTGTTATATATTCATCAGAGCTTCAATTCGTCCAATTGTAACACATGCATCATATTTGCATCATATTTGCATTTAGTTTCTATGAGGTTACTGATCAATGGACTTGTGATACAGGTAGCTGATGTAACACATGCGCTACAACAACCTGCAGGCAAAAAGGTCCAAATTTATTCTGTTCATGATAAACCCATTTGTGAACTTTCACATATTTTGTTGTACATCACCCTGTATCTTTTTTCCTTGGGCCCCTTTCTTCTGTGTAATTTTTTTCCTTTTTTCCTTTTTTCTTTTTCTGGAGAGAAGGGGAAATTTGCTGAGGATCTGATTCTCTTTTACCTAATCGAAGTACAAAAACTATACTGTTCATTCAATATTTGATTAAGCTAAGATTGATACATTTTCTCTTGTTGAATGATACTGCTGTCCTTCCCTTGATTGATACAATCTTTGACCATATTTCTTTTTAAGAGATTGCTTAAATTAAGCTAAGATCAATTTGTAACTAATATTGCTTGCTTTTCTTTTAGCTTGATGGTGGAGGTGTTGCAAGTGGAGGTCTGCGTGAACTAATACCATGTATTGCAAGGACATCAGTTGCTGTTGGGGTAGATGGACTCTTCATGGAGGTAAGAGACGGTACTTTATCAGTTACTGCAGTAGAGCTACTTTTATTGCTTGGTTCGTTTTCATAGATTACTCGATTCAAGGGAAACAAGAGACAATTGTTCAATGCATTTAAATAAACTTTCTAGCCGTGATTGCTCTAATGGGGGGACAAATCACACTTATAAATCAAGAAAGTTCATTATGAGCCTTATAGAACCTTGAGAAACTCTGACTTCGTTTCAGCTTTTGCTCGAGTCAGAATTGACTTATGATATGCCGACTACATCTGGTTCCTGATGCGCATGATATTGCGTTTAACCAACAATTCAAGCTGCATAAAATGCTAACAAATTGAGCAAACTGGGATTGAAATTTTTAATTACACACTGTATTTCCTATATATGCTTGATTTTTCAGAGTTTCTGATTGGTCACTGTGTATTCTTAGGTTCATGATGACCCACTGAATGCACCAGTTGATGGTCCAACTCAATGGGTGAGTTTCATGACTTGATCTTCGGCTTTTTTTTCTTCTCTAAAACTATATGAGCAATTTTTAGTACCAGAAGAACTTATGCACTGTGTTTTACATAGCCATTGCGGCACTTGGAGGAGCTGCTCGAAGAGCTCATAGCAATTGCTGTAAGTTTTGTCATCAGTCCCTGACACTCTGTAGTATGATTATAACTTCTTCTTTTTTTTAGCTGGTATTAATAACCGTTTCCTTTTTCCTGATGCTGCAGAGGGTAACGAAAGGGAAAAAACCATTCAAGATTGATCTCACACCAGTTCGCGATTAAAGGAATTTAATCGCACTCCGAATACTTTATTGATACATCAAGAAATTATTCTGATGTTCTCTGTATTGGACATGTTACCTACTATTGTGATCTTCCTCAAAAATTTGCAAGAGTAGACGCATGCGATTTTGTTACGGTCTTCAATAAAACGTGAACTTCTTGAGTTTTCAACTTAAAGTGAGAATCAATGGAGATGATTATTATTACTTTTTAGGGCTTTTTGTTTTTAGGTCCATTTGTTTACCTAGCTTTATCTTTAAACCCAAGAATTATTAGGTATATCTTTAAACCCAACTTTCTTTTTGTATTTATCTTTAAACCCAATTCCAAAATATAATACTCTCATATGTGGGTCCCCCTATATAAGGAAATTGGGTTTAAAGATAAATACAAAAAAAAAAGTTGGGTTTAAAGATACAACTAATAATACTTGGGTTTAAAGATAAAGTTAGGTAAACAAATTAACCTAAAAACAGAAAGCCCTTATTTTTAACAGAAATATTCTAGAAGTAAGAAGTGTGGTGAGTACTTGCTTCTTTGATATTGGCGATTCAGTGAAATTTATCCTTTAAAAAAATCAAGGAGTGTCACATGGATAGCTATACGATTTTTGATTATGGATAATTAAAAATATTGATATTGGTTGTTTTAGAAATATTGGCAACTTAGTGAAATGTATCCTTTAAAAAATCAAAGAGCCGCATGGAAATTTTAGATTATGGATAGCTATAAGATTTTTAATTATGGATAATTATATGGTTTCATTAGGACTACCAAATGTTTGCCTATAATTAGAATTTTCTAATTATGGATAGATTTAATTTGATAAGAATTCTTAGGTGAATATAATATTATGTGTCTACATGTCTCCTTCTCATTGCTAAGAATTAGTGTGAATATAAGATTATGTGTCCACGTGACACATTCTCATGTGACACCCGATAGTTTTTGTGCCTTCAGAAGTACCACCAATTTCTCATTATACGTAAACGATGGTTTAAAATTGGGGACATAAAGGTAATTTAACCCTAAAACATAAAAAGATTACTTTGGGGTGGTGGGGATGTGGTTGTCAGTTGGGGGGGATTCTAATGTCACAAAGCCATATAAGCAAAAACGAAAAACTCATAAATGCAAATAAAAACAAAATCAAACCTATCCGTGCGAACACTTGTACTATCAATATACATTATTAACACGTGTCATGGGGTGTTTCTTTTGGGTAAAACAATCCTTAGTTTTAAAAAACGGGTTTTCTATAGAGTGTCCATGAGCACTCTATAAGAGAGGAAAGAGATAGAAAGAAATGAATGAGGAGAGGATCCCAATGCAAATTAGGAGGCCCCCCTCTTCATTCATTTCTCTCTATCTCTCCTCTCTTATAGAGTGCCCATGGGCACTCTATAGAAAAACTGTTTAAAAAATAGAAGGGAAAAAAGGAAATGGGCAACCGAAAGAGCACTTAATTTAAGGGGAGTATGAGATTGTTAATTATATTAGTATGACAAAATATTTTAATTATGGAGACCTAAATTAAGCGAACTAACCGCATTTTGGCAATTTGGTTTAGTTTTAGAATATGCGTTGATCAGTTTGGTTTGAGAAAATATCCACCCAGACTAATCGTACCGACTGTGTTCTTAATTGTCAAAGATATACCAATTCTTTCTTTTCATCAATCCACCAATTTCCTCTTTTTTTTTCCATTAAATTGTTTATTGTTTCAATTAATTTGCATAGTAAATTTGTTAATATCGTAATCGACATTTTTCTTGCATCAATGTTGTACCATATTTTTCTTGCGCCAATTTCGTACCATGCGTCTTTCTTTTGGATCAAAATAGCCATTTTTCTCGGTTAAAAGGATTTTGGAAACTTACCATCAAACAACATAAAGATATAGGATATTAGGCACCCATATTTTTGATAGCAATATGCCTATCATCAATTATTAGTATCTAACCCACTCATTGAATTATGCAAGTCTAATAAATTTTCGAAGATCAACATTGTCTGCACAAATATCAGCAAAAATTATAATTATTTTTTTTTTAGAAAAATTCCTCAAGGATCTAAATTATGGGACCAAAATGGGGAACGAGTGATGTGTTCCCCTTCTTCTCATTATGCAATAGGAAGAGGGTACTCACATGTCCCCCTTGTTGGTCTCATATTTTGGTTCCCTTTAGAAAAGCTCTTTTTTTTAATTCCTTGAAGGAGCTGAGTGGTCGTTTTCTCCTTTATGTTGACGTAGACGAGGGGGATTGCAAAGGGATATCGATGCGATGAGGTATCATGTAGACTTGGTCTATGACAGTTAAATTCGTACCAAATGAATATCATGTCTTAGGAACATTGGACTTTTCATTTTGCACTCTGATCCAAGGGGTAATATATATTTAATGCTCATTTAACATCATGGATCAAGTCCGCTTAACGCTTTAGGCCTATTTGGACGTAATTTTTAGAGAGCGCAAGCCTGCAAAAGTTCTGAAAAAGTCAAAACTTTTGCAGGCTTTCTTACAAAATCGCCCCAATTTAGAGCAATTTTGTAAGAAAGCCTACCAAAGTTCAAACAAACGAACCCTTTGTGTATATGAAGGGGTAGTCTCTTTGTCATGCTCGATATACTTTGTAAAAGGTAAATATGACAAACCACTAAGGGCCCGTTTGGATCGGGTATTTTGAAGGGGAAAGGAGGGGGAAAGCTGTCAATTTGTCAGCTTTTTTAAGCTAAGAGGCGATTTTGAGAGAAAGCTACCAAAAAGCTGACAAATTGACAGATTTACCCCTCCTTTCCCCCTTCAAAATACTCAATCCAAACAGCCCTAAAGTTCGTTCAGTTTCAACATCGCATCCAAACCTTTTCAAAATGTACGCAACAGGATTTTCGTCAGAAAAGCTCAAATCAAACTATGTTACCTCACGGCAACATGAAGATCACGTGTAACGAAATGACTAAAAATAGAACTCATCGCGTGAAACGGAAAACCCCTTTTGTACACTTTTGAGAGTAGTTTTTTTGTTTGTACATTCCAAATCCCCCATGTTAGTCCCGTACATCTTCCATATTTTGAAATTAGTCCCTCAAGTCAATGAAATTGCCATTGAGCCAATTTCAACCCACTTCGATTCTTGATTTAAAATGTGTAAAGGAAAAGGGAGATAGTGTCCCATTACTACTCTTCTTCGTATCTATTTTTGTATTTGATTAGGAATACAGTAGGTAATCATAATCTACATAGCTAATTCAAATGTCCAGCATTCCATATTCTTCAAGAATATGATTTCGGACGGTTTTATTCACTATATTAAAAATCACAATGGAAATAATTTTTAGGAAAACAAAGCTCCAATCCATTATACCACATGCACACTAAGTGAAGCACCAAATCAAACCTCATTTCATCGACGATCTTATTCCTTGACAATGTTCAATTTAGGGGTTGCGTTGCAAATCGCTCGTTCAGTTTCCAGTCTAAAGAACAACAGACTCTCGAGAGCAATGGCGGGATCAATTCCATGTTTTTAGAAGTTGAAAGGCCGAAATAGTAGCTACAGCTAACCGAGGGGAAAAAACTCACGCAGAAAACTGCTGAAAAATAATGAAATGGTGTCACTAAGTGCTAAGGGACAACCGATCAAATACGCTGTCAGCAATAGAAACCCATCACTTCAAATGGTGTTCAAAGAGCGACGCCATCTCAATCTACAAAATTGGAGAAAGAGAGAATCATTCTAATGCCCAAGAAGAAAAGGGTCTTAAATTTTAAAGAATTTATTACAGGAAAAAAAAAGAAACTCACTGCTGTTAATGCAGCCTCAGCACCCTTGTTCCCAGCTTTCCCACCAGCACGGTTCAAAGCCTGCATACCAAGGCGAAAATCATTTTTGATCAATAATACATCACCAAAGTTTAAAAATACCAGCTTTATTGCGCAAATTACCTGGTCCATGTCTTCACAGGTCAGAACACCGAAAATACATGGAACTCCTGCAATCGTTACATATACAAACTCAGTAACCTTCTTATATCATATAGGAAACTGATTTTTCATTTTCATTCATCTTATCGCATTTCATACAAAATAAAAGACAAGGTCACCAGGCTAAAACCATCTGCAGCAAAAGTAACATGAGAATTAGCAAGTGAAACACTAATCATTCAATCAGCAGATAACGAAAAAGCAAATGCACAAAGTCGATGTCCAAAGAAGAGGAGAAACATATAACCAGAAATTTTTTTTTATTAAATTGATATTTTAATTGGCAAATACGAAACAGTTAGAAGTCAAGTATGTGCACCAAAAGTCTAGATCAATGGAAATTATGCAAACAGTATAGTATTTTTAAACATCTCAGCAGGGCATCTGTTTTTATGTTAAGCTCTGGTTCCATTTGGCTGTCATAACCAAATTAAAAGCTGATAAATGAAAAACTTAAGCAGACATACTGAAGTAACCTTGCCATGAGAATTTGCACAAGTATATAATAATGTGACCAGTGTCATAAGGGGTACAAGCTAAACAAAAAAGGACATTCCAGATCAATGTTCAAGCTAAAAGAATTTCCATTTCTATAACAGGTCAAATCTATAATTACAAATTGCGAGTCTAGATAGATCTACAGGAGAAACAATATATAAATTTCACAAATGGACTTTCAGCATAAATGAGAACAAAGAATTCAATGAGGGGGTTTGAAATAAATACCAAAATAAACTATTGGAGCAAGCATAGACCAACAAAGATGTAGGGGTCTAATTTGGTGATAACAAGATTAAACTTCAGAGCATCTACGGACAAGTAAATGAGAATTCATGACACTAAATTGAAATCAACAGACCTGAGCCTATTCCAGCCGAAAGTACACCCGATGCTGCTGAATTAGCAACTGCATCATAGTGGGTAGTGTCACCCCTTATCTGCATACATTTTGAAACAAAAAAGTTTTTGGTTGCGACCTTCAATTTCAAGTAACTTAAAGAATAAATAAATAAGTTCCACTATTTCCTAGTGAATTATCTAAAGGGTTAATTTCATAAAAAACCCTGAACTTTGAGCGGTGTTGCACTAAAACCCCTTGAACATTTAGTATTCCACTAAACATCCAGAACTTAGGGGTTATTGAACATAACCCCTCTAAATTTTTTTATTCCACTAAATCCCACTTGAAAGTTTCTCATTTAATCCCCCAAATTAGCACCATCAACTCCCACGTGGCAAGTACATGATTAAAAAAGCATGGAAATAACCCCTCTGTCCCCAAAGAAATTACGATTTCGTCAGTTTTAATAAAAGGGTGTTTTTTTGGAGATGAGAAGAATTTTTTTGTCTTGTTGTGCTTGCTGTTAGCTCTCATGTTTATGAGCCTACTATCTAATCTAGTTTTGATGATAAACAAACAATTCCTAACAACGTTTGTCGAGTGTTTGCATTTGATTGTTAGGTATTCTACACAAAGATCCTCCGTTGGAGGTTGGCTGGAATTGAGCTTAACGATGACATTCAAATGAAGTTGACGGATACTGGAATGAAGCAATGATGAATTCAAAGTCAAATACAAGATCAAGCTTCATCCACAACCAAGTTGAGCTACATTGAAGACCTATAGCTTGAGTAAATAATTTTGTAGGTTAAGTTTATACTTTGTGTGTATATACTTGAGCTCAAATTATACACACACATTATTTTTATTGCCTTCAAGTTTAGCCACATAAATATGAAACAAATGGATATAATACACACATTTGTTTTATGTTTATATGTGCTTGAAATGATTTCAACAAAATCAAGCTTTAACAATATTAAATCAATGAAATCATGTTTATTTGCACAATGTGTTTACGGATTAAAAGACTCATTTATATCATTTTACATCTTTTATAAAGTCTATTAATCCTTTCAAAAAAAGTTTTAAAACTTGCTTGAAATCATTTTGTCAAAATCATGTGTTTTTGAGATTTCGTATTTTGACCAATTTTACAACATGATGAGTTTTCACAAATGGGAAATGCAATTTGAAATTTTTTTTGTAACATATTTATTTTTATGTTTATAAACATTTTTTAAAGTTTTATAATTTTTAAAATTTATTTGCTATTTTTAAAAGGGGTTTGAAATTAATTTTTTCTGTTCATTATATGCCCTGAGCACGTTATCAGTCGACCGATGAAATGCGCTGGAATAGCAGAAAGCTTCTGCTCAGTCGACCGATGCAGGTTATCAGTCGACTGATAAGTTCATCAGTTGACCGATAGCAGATGAACGGCCTGTAACGTTCAGCTCATCATTCGACTGATGAACAGTATCAGTCGACTGATGGCCTGTAACGGCTAGTTTTTTTAATTTCCTGATTTTTTGAGTTTTTATCTTTTTGCTTGGTTTTTGGGGTTTGTTTTGTGAACCTATATATTCCCCTTATCCTCAAACTTCTGAACTAACCAAAGAAGTTTTAAAAACAAGTTTACAAGAGTTTAAGGGTGTTTTGAGTTTGTTGTTTTTAGTGTTTATGTGAAGTGGTTTTCACAAGAGGAAGAGGAGATTATTCATTCTTGTTTGGGCTTCAATTTCTCATCTCCACCCACTCTTGTTGCAGAGAAGTTTTTGCTAACTCAATTCTAGTTTTATATATTTATTTGTTGATTATCAATTTCATTAAGCTAGTTTTTATATTGAGTTTGCATTTCATTATACTCATTGTTTACACACACAACTCACTTGAGCTTTTAGTATTTACACATATTGTATATTTGAGTTGTGAGAGTTATAACATTGAGAGTGAGCTTAATTGAGTTCTCATCTTGTTTAGAGAACAAACACTTTTATTTGTGCTTAATTTATGAGATCACATTGTAATACGCAAGGACACCGAGAGGAGTGGTTGGTGAGAGACGAAATCAATTCCAAGAAGAGTGACGTCGGTAGTAAAGCCTAGGAAGAGATAGTAAATCCGAGCACTTGAGGAAGTTGACACAGGCTAGGCCAACACTTAGAGGGTGTATTGTGTGATTGTAATTATGTAAATTGTGAAAGTTTTCGATGAGCTAGAAAACCGATTGTGTGAGTTGTAAACATTTTCGGTGAACGTTGAAAACTTGTTGTGATAGTGGAGATTCTCCTCGGGAGTGGGGAGCGAAGACGTAGGTCGAGAATAACCGAACTCCGTGATCATAATGTGTGTTTGAGTTTGCCTTGACGTATTATTTGTGCTCATTGTTTATTACATTATATATCGCCATTGTCTCATGTTTTATCGCCCTTAGTTTAATTGCATATCCTTGCTCATATATCTTGTTGTATATCATAATTGCTAGGATTTTGTTAATAAATTTTAATTAGGCATTAATATTGGATTAGATTAGCATATACCCTATTCACCCCCTCCTATAGGGTAATTTCACTTGCTACGTGACCCTTTAAAGTTGATGGTGCTAATTTGGGATCTAAATAAGAAACTTCTAAGTGAGACATAGTGGAATAAAAAGTTTATGGAGGTCATGTGCAATAACCCTTAAAGTTCAAGGGATTTAAGGGAATAAAAAAGGTTCAGGGAGGTTTAGTGCAACAACCCAAGGTTTAGGAGGATTTTCTAAAATTAACCAATATCTAATGATATCAGACACGAACAATTACAAGGGGAGTGAATATGCAACAATTAACATATATTCACTAGGATGAACTTAATTGGCAGTTTCAAATATGGTATCCATGAGAAATGAATTTCAACGTATAATCATCAAAGGACTCAATCAAAGACATAAAGTAACAAGGACATACAGAATCCTAACAATCCCATTGGGCAGTGGTCCTGACAAAGAAATTCCAACATGTCACTCATATGCTAGGTTGCATGGGTACGGCTATGAGTACTAGTACTGGTACGGGTATGGGTACAGGACAAGACAAAACTGTAAAAGGTACGGTACGTGGACATGACTTTATATATGCACGTTATGTATATTTATATGGTTTAAAATTAATAATTTATGTAATATCAATATTGTTCTTTTATTTACATAAGATCAATATATAAGAAATAGATGTGAAGTGTAGAATATACATCCAAGAAGTGTACGAGAAGTGTTTTAAATTAAGACATGTATTATATATTTAAGTAAATGCTTGAATAAACATATGCATATATCCAAGAAGTGTCCAAGAGGTTTGAGTACGGGTATGGGTACGTGTTGGGTACAGGTACGGCTTCCTAATAGAAGTACCCAGGTAACACAGCTCATATGGTTAGCTACTTGTTAATATAACTTTCATACTAAACATTTTTCAGATATACAGAAATAGCAGATATAGAAAGATCATTAAGCTGATACGATAACAGTAAACTGGAGGAAAAGAATTTACCACAGCTCCAATGCATATTATTGCATGAAAATTTCCAGACTTCCCAAGCTTTTGGGCAACCACTGGAATCTCAAAGCTTCCAGGTACTTTGACAACCTAGAGGAATAAAAGCTGCTCCCTGTTAGATAGTTTCTTCTTATTTCCTTTTTTTTTCTTTCTCTTTTCTTTTGTTTTCTTAAAGAGTAACATTCAACCCATAAGACAAAAAGCATGCATGAACTTTAACAACTTAGTAACACCTTATCAACTAAATGAGAAGGGCACAAAATACTACCATCTTGTAAAGGACTATAGTCACGCTAGTTGATTTGATATCTTGGCAAAACCATGCGAGTCCAAATTGCATATACAATATCTAGGTGAATATTTAAACAATTTTATAGAACTACAAGAAAGACACATAGAGCTTGTGTAGATTTATGGTTTATAAAGCATCAAAAATTCATTTAAGAATCAATAAATGGTAATTTAGACCACTTTTTGATTTTGTACAACATTAGTTGACCAAGGTTGGGCTCAATTAACTCACAGTATGGAGACACCAAGACTCCAATGGACGATATTGCATAGAGAAAGTAAACTGCATATAGGTAAACTAAACTGCGCACGGAGAAACTGAATTTCATACGAAGGAAGTAATAAAGACATTATGAGCAAAATAAGAATGTTCATTGTCTTTCTGCATAACCGTTATCTAGATTAAAATAATCTTGGAAAGTGGAAGCTTTTCTCTGGTATTAAGTTAGCAGAAAGACAAGACAGTCTGCTAAAAGGAAAGAATGCCTATCCCCCAAAAGTGGAAAGGCTTTGGTCGTGTTGTAATGAATAAAACCATAACTCACACATAAAAGGATAATGACAAGGAAAAGAGGAAAGAAAGAGCAAGCAACATCATTTACTACTCAACAAAAGGTTAATAAATCTTAGAGATGTTTACATACTGTGATGTCTTCTTCTCTAACTGAATGTCTTCTAAAAGTCTCCAAAGCTCCCTCCAATAACAAGTTTGTCACAACTTCGTTGAACCGTGCTACAACCTGCATACAGAGAGGAAAGTATAGCATAGAGCAGTATACAATCACATCATGGAGAAGAGAAAAACTGGAGAAGGTTGCATGAGATGCTGATTTAGATTTAGCTTTCAAACAGGATATAATAAATAAAACTGCATAGTTCTTAGAAATCGAATAAGACTAAATTAATTAGGCACATTTGCACTTTAATACCCCCAATGCTTCATCCATTTTTAAAACTTTGATACCCTGAAGTTCTATTTTGACAGTGTGATACTTAAAGTTTTCAAATTGACATTAATCTGACAATTTGATACCCAAAGCCTAAATTGGTTCCTCACTTTCCCCAAAACCCCAAAAACTGAAATATGTAAAGAAAATTTGTTTCTCAATTCACTTTTCTACATCGATACTCTTCTACAAAGCTGACATCAATCTTTTTGTACTTTGGGGTATCAAATGATTCGAATTGTTAAAATAGAACTTTAAGGTACCAAAGTTAAAAAGTTTGAAACTTTAGGGTATTGAAATGAAAATAGCCCTTAAGGTTATAGTCAACAACGAACAAAAGAAATCACCCAGCATAGCACTGCTGACTCTAAACAGCAGGAGAACCCAAATCATTCAACAATTGTAAAAAGGCCAACTTTCTTCCTCGGGCAACTCAAATTCTCATAGTAACAATACATCAAACAGGCTATGCGCATATCGTTAACAAGGTTAACAACAGAAAACTCACCACTGCGAAGCGCAAGCCTTCAGTTTTCGTCAGAGATCCCATCAGATTCCGAGGCCCGGCAGCAGAAACCACCAAAGACTGCGCATTTCTCGTTCCCGCCGAGCTGATCGAAGGAGCTGAGAAGGAATTGAAGTCAAAGACACGAGCTTGGAACTGAAGTTGGAAGATGGAGAAGGGAGAAGAGTTACAGTACCTCGAATCGAAGAGGAGAAGGAGGCTAGGGTTTTGGGAGTGAGGCCTGAAGAAAATTGGGTACGTTGAGAGTGTCTTGATGCAGTGGAAATTGATGGGAGCAGTTTTGCTGCGTTTGTTGCTGCGAATGAGGCCATATCGTCCCTCTCAATCTCTCTCGCAAAAGAAGTCAGCTGTAGGCTATATATCAGAAAACCTCCCTTGACTTTGGACGATTATCAGATAACCCCCAGAAACTTTCAGAGTATCAGAAAACCCCCTTAAGTTAGGGGTTATCAGAAAACCCCCTTTCAATTTAAGATTTTATGAGGGAGGGTAGGGGTGTGCAACGGTCGGTTCGGTTCGGTTTTTACCAAAATTTGAACAACCGAACCAAACCGACTGGTAGGGGTGTGCAACGGTCGGTTCGGTTCGGTTTTTACCAAAATTTGAACAACCGAACCAAACCGACTATAATTCAAAACCGAACCGAACTGTTGCAAGTCGGTTCGGTGCGGTTCGGTTCGGTTTGGTTTGTTCGGTTAATTCAAAACCGAACCGAACTGTTGCAAGTCGGTTCGGTGCGGTTCGGTTCGGTTTGGTTTGTTCGGTTTTAACTTTATCAAACTTCTTATCAAACAACAAACTGTGTTAAAAGAAAAAAATATCAACAAAGTAGGAGATTATGAAGCATTAAACACTGATATAATGATATTGTTTTTAACCCATAATGATCCAGAAAATGAGTTTAGAGTTTGAGTCTTTAACTCTTTGGGGACGGATCGGGTAGTGTTTGAGATCAGAATGAGTAGTATTGCACTATATTCGGTCGGTTCGGGTCAGTTTGGGTTGAAAAGTTTTCAAACTGATCCGAACCGCCCTACTCATAAAACCGATTTTTTCGGGTCGGTTCGGATCGGTTCGGTCGGTTTTTTCGGTTTGGACCGAACCATGCTCAGCCCTAAGGGAGGGCCCCTAAAATCTCCCTAACAGAGCTAACCGGAAATTTCACATGGATGGTTAAAATTACGCAGGAGATATTTTTACCACGTAGGAGATATTTTTACAGGTGAAAATGTGGTTATCGTTGTTCGGGGGTGTCTTTTAACCCCTAATTAAGGGGGGTTTTCTGATTTTTAGCCCGCAGACTATAGTTTGGAGAAATTATGGCTTTCTCGCAATTGAGTAAGAAATTATGAGAATATTTAGGATTACAAATTTTCCTACTTGTAACAAATTAGACATGGAATTACAGTTGCGGCTATGTCGTCTGCCAAACTTCTATTGAAGAAAACCATATTTTACAAAAATTATTTGGATCAAAACTGCACTTAGCGGTTCTATAAAAGCTTGCACTACTGTAGTTAAAAAAGAATACAACGTAAAAATAATTAGTAACAGTGAAACGATTATACGTAAAGATAATTAGTAACAGTGAAATGATTATACTTTGATATTCAACAAATATTCATGAATATTCATAAATATTTAGTTTTGAGTTCGAGAAACTCCGAACATCTGAACATGGATATTTGAATTCGGGTTCGAGTTCGAATATATTTAACAAATACGAAAATGAACACCTTACTATTCAATTTACGTCGATCGTTTACCACCACGACTCAAGAATAGAAGTAATTTATCTACTTGGTACCGTAAAATATTGTGTAAATATATATTGCTAGTAATTTGAAAGTGCAAACAATAAAAAAGAAAATAGATTGTAAAAAAATAGTTAGATTGATGAGAGTAGAATCTATCAAACTCAACCCGCTAGGCCAATAATAATACATCTGTTCCGTTTATACATTGTCATATCTTCACATCTCAGCTACCAAGGTTTCTGGCTTACAGTTCTTACTCATAGATTTGTATTATACAACTTAAAAAGAGTCAAAATCTCCCTCAAACAAGGAAATAATCAGTTCTTCGAATTTTCGCACATGAACAATTCATGGCAACCTCACTTAAGGATTCAATATTCCTCGCGAGCTCTGAAGGCATTCCTTCATCTCATTGCTCGATGAACAAGAAAGTGAGATATTCAAGTCGTAGTGTTGTAGTCTATATACATAAAAGATTACGTCAACTTTTCGGTGTTCTCTGAAAGCAAACCAAGAATTCAGTGTTTCCCTCTGCACCCTTTAGAGGAGATTCTATCCACCCTTTGCTGCAGAATCCAAACTCTTGTACCCCAGTTATTATTTTATCAAGGACCTGCACGTAGGAATCGAGTTATGTTAGATTTTGCCGCTATGGATCTAATTTTAAATAGTTCAAACTTACTATATCTTATGCAAGTCCAAGGATACAATTTAGTAGTGATCATTTTTTTCATAAAACAATTAACTGTGAAAACAAAAGGTCATAATCATCACTGTAATAGCTAATTGTCATTATTAGCCTCATGCAGAAATACGTACTTCTTGATGTACTTGAGGATCTCTCACAATGCCGCCACCGCCAACCTGTGAAAAATAAGAAATGCTATTTTCAGGATATGTCAATAAATTCTAATTTGTATCAGCATTAAATTAGCATACTTCATTACAGGTTCTGAAAATTGAAAAGGACTTCCCTAAAAAGGGTTTAATTGTGGATAACCCCCTGCAGTACCGCTATATTGCTGATGGATCCCCTGTACTTCTATTGTTGGGGATAAACCTCCTGGGTTTTCAACTCCTGTTAGTTTTTCCCTTTAAATTAGTTATAGTATGATCATTATGCCAGTTTATAGTAAGTAATTCAGTTTATGAAGCTTGTATGTTCAGGTTTATGAAGCCCAATCTTAATGTGAAATTAATAGAGCTGAGAATCCATGGTCCTATTTGCAACTATAGAAGTAAAGAGGGTCTGTCTGCAATTCGATGATAGTAAACGGGTTCTATCTGCAGTTAGCCCTGAAACAACGCATTCCATGATATTAGCAACGGGCTTAAACTAGTAGAGCTTGAACTGTTATGATAAAAAAGAAATATGTTACAGCTATCTGGGGGGAAACACCTTAGAGAAAAAATCAACCAAAACAGTGATGATATTCTGAAAATAAGTAAAGAACTAGAACCTGAGATCTCCGAGCCTCAAACTGAGGCTTAACCAATGTCACCAATATAGATTCAGCCTTCATCAAATTGACAACAGCAGGCATCACCTATAGTTCATACAAGTTAATGTTAGGACTGCTAACTAAGCATACATACAAAATGAGACATGGTCTTTTTTTTCAGCCAAGGAAGTTAAGTCATTATAGCTGTTGTCTACCACAAAACTATTTTCCATTTAACTCTAAACATGGAATGTACTAAAAGATCTATACCATCATTAACATGTGATTCCTTGCAGATTTAGAATAGGCAATGAGTTTTAATGTGTCGTAACGTAAGATCAACTGGTAGTACCAACAGTGCTGCTAAGTAATTTTCTCTATTCTCTCAACTCATTTAGTGACAACTGTAAACGTTACATTGTGTTACTACATTATTAGCCCAGAATATACCACTTTAAGCTTTTGGATAAAGTTGCCACTTGCTAATATAAGGTACAAAGTTTCAACAAGTTTACATAAAGTCAAAGGATCCCGCCACTACACCAAAACTCCAAAAGTTGTGGTGAGGATTGAGGGTTATATTTTCATTCTATAATATGCCCCCTGCAGGTTGAAGGCCCTTTTACGGACGACCGGTATCTTGACTCACAGAGCAGTATCTTTTTTTTTAATATGCTTTAGAAATTATTAGTCAACAAGATTTAGACCTAGGTTGCTCTGGCACCATGTCAAATGTCACTGCTACAATGCCAAAACTCCAAATTTGACACCATGTCAAAGGTCACTGCCACAGTGCCAAAAGTCCAAATTTGTGTCAAGGGTTAAGGGCTATAGTTTTATACTCTATAACATAACATCTTTGGCAATTTAAGATATGAAACCATCATTCTCTCTTTCCAAGCAACTTATATTTACTCATTTTTCATGAGGGCATACTGAGTGCTAAGTTTGATCGATGCAAATTAAGCCCAAAACTTCGGAGCTGAGGCATTTGGATAAAGAGGTATTGAGGTATACAACAACAATCATTAACCAAAGAGAGTTCATTATTATGTGAAAACATACCGTAAGTATAGAAATGAATGAGAGGTCTAGAGTCACCAAGTCAACTTGTTGTGGAAGTTCAGAAAGATATCTCAAATTTGTTCTCTCAATTACAGACACGCGCTTGTCTCGACGGATTTTATCAGCCACCTGTAAATCCAAAAACTTAACCTCAACCCAAGTTGTTTCAAACAAAAGCAAAAGTAAATAAAGTTTAAGAGAATTTTTTAGTTAAGGTCACTGTAATACTTAAAACATTCTGTTATCTTTGTATAAATGAGATACGGGTTTCTAAATTTCGATCTAAAGAAAACACATGTAAAACACCATAAACAAACTAGAAAATTACTGAATAAATGTACCTGCCCATAGCCAACATCAACACCATAAACAAACGCTGCTCCATGCTGAAGCAAACAATCCGTAAATCCACCTGTGGACAGTCCTGAATCAAGTGCAACTTTTCCAGTAACATCAATGCTCAATTGTTCAATTGCAGCTTCTAACTTATATCCTGCTCTGCATTAAATAACATAGTTAAAAAATTGGTTATAAATAGATGATAAGGGGTTAAGGTAATCACCAAGTCTTCATAGAATATCACCTACATACATATTTTGGAACTTCGGCCTTTATCTCCACAACTGATTTATCAGATACAGGTGTACCCGCTTTGCTTACTACTTTTCCGTCCACAAAAACTTTGCCTGCAACAAAGACAGATAAGAGACTAAAAGGAGAAAGCATGGAAAACACGACAAAGCTACATAATTACTTTAAGAGGTCCAAAAGGTAGCTCTTTGCATTTTCTTTACAAAGAAATTAAATACAGTAATTTTAGAACTAAAACAATTGACTGTTTTCAATTTTATCTATACAAGACAACGACAGAATAATCACCAAATGTGTCTGACAACTATAATAAATAGCATATGTGTATTTGTAGAGGTTGAGATTTATTGCTCAAAGTTCATGGAATGTTTTTTGGTTTGATGGGCTAACAAAAGTTAATGTTTGAAGCAGATGGTTTGAAGTTTTGGCTGAAAACCAAGCATAGTTTTGAGTTTGACCAAAAAGTCTGACCTAAAGTCGTAGAAGTGACTCCTTAGCATATCTTTTCATATTCTTAGGCAAAATATACTTATAATAATCCTGCAAAACGCGTAATATCAAACTCAAATTATCAGCATTAAGATTGTATTGCAGATGACCTAACTTGTAAGCTATCAACATTGCTTCATGCTGGACTGATTCCTTTCTTATATTAACAACATTCATTTAAAGGGGGGGAAAACTAGACTCTTAGCTGGACTAGGATGATCATCTTTTTTGACATATGCAACTGAAATTCTAAGTAGAACTAGGATGATTATCTTTTTTCACAAATGATCTCTTTAGCTAGATGTCTCTTGTAATAATATTCCTTCAACGGGAAATAGCACCAAAACTTGACATTCATAATCTCAACTCCAGAACTGTGCACATACCACAGCAACTTTTGTTGACACTTGGAAAGGAAACGGAATAGCATCAATAAGAAATTAAGAATGAAGTATCATTTCACCTTTAAATGGCTAAAAGTGATAATTCCATAAATCATAAGAAAGAAGGCCATGGGGCCCCTGACCTTGTATAATCCATGACTGGATGAAGGTTCGGCTGTATTGTTGATATTGTTCAAGACATACCTCATCTAACCTTCTTTTCCTGAAATTAGAAAGGCCATATCAGTCAAAATCAGAGACATCACAAGACACTCTTTCACTTCACTCTGAGCAACAATGAAACATGTGATAACAAGAGAATGCTGGCTGCAATTTTCAAGACCAATCGGTAACTTCCTACAGCATCAAAATTGTTTAGAGGTGTCAAATTCACAATTGAAGATTGGTGAAGCTGCAGCTCAAGAAGCTGTGCATGTCTACGTCTAAGTTACATGAATTTTCTTAGAAAGCAATAATCTTTTCTAAGAAAAAAGCTACGAATTTTGTTATTTGGGCGTTGGGGGTTGGGGGGGGGGGGGCTGTTCTAGGTAGGAATATCACTTCTTCGGCAGCTGAATTCTTTCGGGTTTATCAGTTGCGAAGGTTCTGATAGGCCATGTCCGCCATTGACCGTTATTCAGTGACACTGGTAATCAAACCAAACAAGCATATGAACACAATTAACTCAAATATCACCACAAAGAACAAAAACTCACTCAATACAATTACTAAACAAAATGCATAACAAAAGCAGAGAAAAATAGTGCAAGATGTCACCTTTTTACTGCAGAGAGACAAAATAAAGCAGTTGGAATAATGGGTATCGATCAAAAACTAAATCTGATTAAGCCTAAGGCTCCAGAACCAACCAACGTAACTTGGGCAGAGGAAATTTCATCCTTAAATAGTAATAGATATAAAAGGGTACAGACCAAATAAGCAAATATCAAAGTCAGTCGATTGAACAAGAAAATTAAGTGGAATAATGATATTAAATTAGAAAAACAAAATTAGATGGGTGGGATTTAATGAGGTTTAGAGAAAGAGAGAAGGAATCATACAGAGAAGTCTTCGTTGTATAGTTGATGTGAAGAAGGACGACGAGAAGAAAGCTGATGAAGAGGAGCAAGACATCGGGAAAAACCTCTGAGCCATTGCTCTCTCTCTCTCTCTCTCTCTCTCTCTCTCTCTCTCTTCTTCCTTCTGGTTCAATTTCGAAAGAAAATGGGTTTTAGGCTTTTACTGGATTTTCAAGCATCTTCGGGTACGAAATGGGCTTAAAACATTGGGCTTTAATGGGCATCCTGAAAAAGGTAACATGATAAAGGAGTAAAAGGGCCTCCATAAAACATTTATGCTTATTTTAGAAGTATTCTGAAAGCGAAATATTACACTTGCAAACATAAATAGTAAAGTAAAATAAAACAATTCAGATGAAAAAAAAAACCTAGAAAATGAAGACTCCGCTATGATTTATTGCGTAGAAGTAAATGGGCCTCCTTGTCGTTAGATCTATAAAGGCTAAAAATGATGTTTTTAAAACCCCTCTTAATCAATTTAGTAATAAAACCTTCGTCAGTGAAATTTTAGTATTAAAATTCCACACATTCTACAACTAGACATTTTTCATTTGCCACTGGTGAAATTTTTTGAGAATTTTTTTTCAATTTAAAACACACTCACATCCAAAGACTGTTTTCATTCAATAAAACAGGGATAGTCATTCTTCTACTAACCATATGCATCTCCAAAACCACATAAGAAGAAAATAAATATGTAATTTGTCCATGTCACATGAGCTAAATAAAGTTACATTAGTTTTCTAATAATCCCGAATTAAGTCATGTGAGGGCGCATGCAATTTTACAATTAAATCTTTTTGCTAGCTGTGAAAAAATCTAATTGCACATTTGATGTACATTTTAATACCCAAAAAATGCCGGAATTTTTTTAATACCGAACATGCTAAGGGAGTTAAACATATATCGATATGATGATACATCTGTTTTCTAAATACTTAGAGCAATTTTTTTCGTAGTCCAGGTACTATTTTAAAATAATTTGATCCTACCCTTTTATTACATGTTTGTTGTTTTTATGGGACATGGACTTCATTTATGAGAGATTATACAATTCCTCAAGAGGGGGACTATTTAAAACCCACCTTACCCTTATCTTTATAGTCCAAGTATTATAGTCTGGTCCGGATTAAAATTTTCGATTAAGATTGCCCTTAATATTTTGGAGATTTTCCAGATCAAAATCATTTTCTCAAAAATTTTATTTTTTTAATTTTTTTTCATCAAGCGATTATTTTCGTCGAGTTGCTATCGTATTCTCACAAATATTTATGTTCTTTTTCTTTCCAGCGAACAGAAAAACTGTATTTTTCATCCCCATGGGGAATCCAAATAATGCTAGAGAACAAGTAACGCTAGATAAAATTGACAAACACGATGACTGTCTTATTAGCAAAATTTAACCAAGACTTAGTCTTCGTTTCTATAATATGTATGCCCATGGTCAACGTTCTAAAATAAAAGAATAAAACTAACAATGCACATTCCGGCGTAGTAAACTAACAAGATCATATTAAAATAGGGTTGTTTATCGTTTCATGATAGGTATAATGTGGTATACATATTTCGTAAACAAGTTCATGTTAGGGGGGTTAGTCATCTAGAACTTAAAACTGGAACTGGGATAATTTGTGGGATAAAATTTTAAGGTGTTAGTCACATAGAACTAGGAAATGGGATATTTTTTTATAGTATTAGTCAAGTGGAACTTTTGTAGAACTAGAACTATATTATTTTTTTGGTGCGTTAGTCAAGTAGAATTCTACTAGAATTAGAATTGGGATAATTGGTCATAATTATCCCACAAATTATACTACCTATATATATAACCGTAAGTTCTCCTCTCTCAAATTATCCCACACATTGGAAAGAATACAATTGGAAAAAAAAAGTGAAACGTCGCCTCCCTCCCTCTTGGTTAGTTTCTCCGCCTAGAAAATTTCTCTGCTATTAAGTCAATCATCCGTTCATTTTTTTGTCTTTACTTTGTTTTTGTGATGATTAGATCTTTTATTATTATCTTCAAGATGTATTACTTTATTGATAGCTTTTTGACGTTAAATTACTTTATTATTATTTGTTTGATCTAAGTTTTCTCTCCACAACAGTGGTTTAGGTTAAGAATATAGTGTTGGTGGGTTAGTGCTAAAGATATGCGGGCTATTTATGTTTTTTTTATAAGTTAGAAAGCAACTTTGCAATCACATTGATGATTAGACGTTGAATGGTTAATGGTGATATCTATTATTATTAAATCGGCTTAGTAAATTGATTGGGATATTTATAGTTCATATGTCGATCATCTGTTTAGCGGCCATGGATGATTCATGTGTACATTTTTATTTATTTGCTGATTTGGTTTCAGCGATCATGATGAGATTGGTCCAAAGGGTTAATGGCTGAAAAATGCTTATTTTCTTTCTTTATGATGTTATGAGATTTGAACTTCGACATTTATGATCCTCCGCTAGAAGCTCCACGAAATGTTGCTGATGCAGACGATGACTCAAATAAAGAAGATGAGTTATAGACTCAACGAGCAGCTGTAGGAGCTTGGAGAAATTCTATGGCAGATGCCATGTGGGATGATGAAAGTCGAGTCACTCTAGGGATTTAGATTTTTATTTATTTGTAAATTATTTTATTATTTGAGATGAATAGTGATGCTTTATTGCATTATATTTTATAGTTATTACTAGAATTTGCTTATCAATATTATATTATTTTTAATATACAATTATTAACAATAGTAATTTATACCCACCATTACCCCCACCAAATTATCCTACCAAATTATGCAACTTCATAATATTATCCATCATTATCCCACCAAATTATCCTACCAAATTATCCCATTTTAAGAATTACTCATCATTGTTCCACTAAATTATCCCAGTGTTAAAATATTATCACACTTTACCAATTATCCCAGTTCTATTTAAAAAGTTCTAGGTGACTAACCCCAAACAGATGCATTGATACAATGTTAGTTGATTAGAGGATAATAGAGTAAATTTGGTTATGATATTAGTCACATTTCATAGGACCCCTTAAAAACAAACACGGCTTTAGATTAACTTGATTTAGTCCGAATGCTAGTCCATATGAAAATAAACATTCAACTAGACTAAAATAGTTTCAGAATAACGCAATTCTAGGACTATAATCTCGAGAATATAATACCTACAAATCGCTAGATGGAAAATAAACACGGCCTTAACGCAGTGGCGTAGCCAAGATTTTTTTTTTGTTTTTTGCCCTAGGCGAAAAAATAATCCTGCCTGACGATGAATCCTAAGGCGCAAACATCGGCGAAGGAGATGTCTCGTCCTCTTGCTCCTCCGTCGTCGAAGTCGGCACAAAACCTAGATTTGAGTGGGGAAGCGAGGAGAAGCTCCTCGAGCTCGGTCGTCGAGGGGCTCCCCTCGTCGGAGTCGAGGATGGGCCTCCAGAAGTTGACAACGGAGCTCCCCGATTTTACTTTCTTGTCTTGGGCAGCTGCTCAGAGCAAGCCCCGTGTGGCTCCGCCACTGCCTTCACGCATAATTCGTAATGTCTAAACTATACAAATCTGTATCATTGTGTGTACGTGAATCATGGGGAGCGGATTTGGAGATGAAACCGAACATCGCCCGTTTGAATGCACGTGCCGCCCAGCTCCTTCAACCTGCCGAAATTTCTATCCCAAAATTGTTTACTTTCATTCCCCCCCACCCCCCCTAATTAAAAAAACAATAGTTTTCTCCACACGCCGTAGCCTTTTCGAATATTTTAACGGACCACGTTACCTCACGATGTGGACCCGATCCGATCCCATCCATCATCTCCCGTTTGACGAATCTGAACCATCCATTTCTCAGATCCCGATCCCAAGCAAGGTCCAAATCCGAAAGTTCAGGCATCAAATCCTCATCAGACCCGATCACCTGTCCGTACTAAAACAATAAACATGATACCCCACAACTAAAAGTATGCCACGTGTCAGAGTAAAGCTGAAAACTACTCTTACCAGCCAACTAATCGGTATGGCGCGTAGTCAGTGTCATACCGTCGTGCTCGTCCTGGGAGTGCCGGTCCAAATGAGGCTGTTACCAGGAAAGGAACAAATAAATATAAAAAATATCAAAAATTAAATAAGACTAATTAAGAGGCTGTTTGGTTTTTTTCCCCCTTGAAAAAAAAGAAAATGATAGGAACACACCATCAACCATACCCTCTCTCTCATTTGATACATTGCACCGGGACCCGCATGTGATTTTAAAATTTTTAAAATCTCATGTGAGGCCCGGTGCACTATAGCAAATGAGAGAGAATGTGTGGTTGGAGTTGTGGTTGGGGGTGTGCCTCTAGTGCCACTCTGAAAAAAAAATTTAATTTCCAGAACAAAACAATCAAACAAAAATTGATCTCTTGATATATAATATTTAGAATTGTTTAAATTAAATAGTAAAATTTTAAATTAGAGAGTTTTTTTATGAATTTCTAATTCAGAGATTATCACATGCTTGACCTATGCAGAAGACTAAAAGTGATTATCTAGATTATAAATATTGATGCTAGATCCATTCTACCGTCAAAATAAATTCAATCATATAATTGACATGTATTAGATATCTAAATACAAATATAAATATTTAACCGATATATGTGTAAATATATATCTACGTCCCCTATTGAAAATCAAGGGGGAAAAAATTCATATACATGATCAGCAAGATATAGCTTCTTGAACTTAATATTATAACCAACGACTTCTTTTTGAAAAAGAATTTAATCTAGATACGTATTACTGAGTGATACACCTCAAGAATATATTATTATATAGGTTTTTTTATATGAAAACCGTATTTAGTTTTATTTACATTGATGGATATCACTTTTTTCTTTTTCTTTTTATGAAAACCACATTTAATTATTGTTATGGTTGCGATGTAACACATTTTTACCCTTGTAGTTTACAAACGACACCAACCATCCATAATACCCTCACTTCTCCTCATTCTCACCCACCATCATCTTACTCACATTATGTGAGATCAAAAATGTGTGACATTGCAGTCATAACCATCATTAAAAGTAATCTTCATAAAATAAAATAAAAAATAAATTTTATTTGTTTGAATAAAAGTAGAGATGATTTCAATGTAAGGGCCCGTTTGGTTGGTTTATTTTGAAGGGGAAACCTGTCACAAATATCTCATCTGTGGCAGCTTTCAACCACTTTCTCCCTAAAAAACGGGCAACCAAACGGGCCCTAAGACACCCTATTATGTTCGATGCACATCAGATGTGTCTTTTGACTAGGCAGGGCCGGCTCTGTGGGAGTTCAACCGGTGCGCCCGCACAGGGCCCCCGAAATTTGGGGGCCCCAAATTTTTTTAATTTATATTTATATATAGAGAGAGATAGCAAATATGGATCATCCTTTTCACAAACCCCTTAATCTCAACCGTCCAAATCAAAACCCCTCCTTCAAAAGAAACCAATCTTCACAAATCAGATGATTCAGATTGTCGAGCTCGCTGTTGCGTCACTGCCCCCGCTGGCTGCTGTCGAACTCGGAATCAAAATCACAGATTAAGATGTAAGATTTGGGTCTCTTTTTTTGGGATTACTTAGGGTTTTTGTTGTTTGATTTTTGTTGTTCATTTGATGCCTTTTGTTCAGTTGTTGTCGCACAGGGCCCCTAAAATCTCAGAACCGGCCCTGTGACTAGGGATGCATATGTACAAGAAAAATTCCTCAAGGACCCAAAATATGAGACCAATAGAGGGGACAAGTGAGGTGTCTCCCTCTTATTTAATGAGTTGATCATCATTAATGATGGTCAACTCATTATCCAATAGGAGGGAGACACCTCACTTGTCCTCTCTATTGGTCCCATATTTTGAGTCCCTGTAGCAAAGCTCTATGTACAAGTCCAAACAATAAATTTGTATATTTATTGTGTTTGTCCATGGTCGAAATACAACTACGTTAGCAACATCCAATAGAATTAATAACCACGTCCAACATAGTGGTCAATAGATTTGAATAGTTTACTATGTTAGTATGCACAATGCACCTATAGTTGCATTGTGTATACCACCCTCCTTTGACTTGAAGCTCTGTTTGACCAAGAATTTAACTATACACTCTCACCTACTTAATTTGTGTGGCCAGAGGCCCAGAGCTACCTTCTTGCATCTCTATATTTTTTCCCTCATCTACACAATTTCCCAATATCCTCCTCCTCCTCCTCCTCTTTCTCTCTCTCTCTCTCTCTCTCTAAGATTTTTATTTTCTCTATTTTTGCAACAAGAGGGAGAAAGAAAGAGAAGATGCAGGTATCACAGAAGTACTCTCCATCTGAGGTCTCCCTTCACTCCACCAAGAAAGATTGCTGGCTGGTCATCCATGGAAAGGTTTTGAATCCTTTTTCTTTAAAAAAATTTGATGGGTTGATTGTGAAGGGGTTATCTGAAATTTACTTTTTTTTTGCTGAATTTATGATCTTTTTATTTTTTATGTGTTTAGGTTTATGATGTAACCACTTTTTTGGAGGACCATCCAGGAGGGGAGGATGTTCTCCTCCATGCATCAGGTACTGTCTCTTTTTTTTTTCTTTTTGTGTATTTTGCATTGAAATCCTGCAAAAGATCTGGTGATTTTGTGAAGGGTACTCCCTAATTTCTGCATTATATTATGTGCTGTTGATCTAAAAGAGTAACAAAGCAAAATTGGCTTTTGTGTTGATATTTTCCCAGTAGTTAGTGAATTTGTATGTAGATCTCAAGAGATCTGTGGTTGTAAACATTTGTTTTGATGCATCTGTGATTTTTCACGGCTGTTGTCTCTAAAAAGAGACCAATTTCTACTGAAAATTTGTAGTCGACCTTAATGGTGTGTTTGGGAGTTTACTAAGAGAAGGGAAGGAAAGGTAAACAACGGGAAGGGAAGGGAAGGGAAGGGAAGAGAATTGTAATATGTTGTTTGGGAGTTGAGTAAGGTGAATGAAGGTGAAAGAAAGTAAATATATGTAAATTTACATAAATGACTTTATACTAATAACACATCAGCCCTTTTATTTGTTTTGATGGGGGTAAGAATGTCATTACACCCCTTTACCCTCCTCTACCCTCCTCTACCGCCCGAATCGGGGGGGAAAGAAAACCAAACAATTTTACCCTCTTTTCCCCTTCCTTCCTCCTCTCTACCCTCCTTAAAAAAACTCCCAAACAAGGTGAAAGCCTCATTTCTCTTCCCCTCCCCCTCTCTACCCTCCATCCAAACAGGGCATAACTGCAAAGTTATCTTTCACAAACTGCTACTTAATTCCAGTTATTCTTTTCAACTTACTAAAAATTAATGCATTTATACTGCATCTAACGCCCTTCTGGACGAAGGAAGTATCAGAAGTAGCAACTTCAAAAATTATGAAGTAGAGATTAGTGGAAGTGGTACTTTTTTGTTTATTTCACATATTTTTGGAAGTAATGGAAGTGATGCTTCTTCCTCTTCATTTACTTTTTCTTTGGATGGCAAATGGAAATATCATTACGAAGACGGACATAAGTTCTTCTAAGATTATTTTTTTAGAGTGAAGAATATCCACGCAATTTAAAAGCTAATTTAATTCCTAAATTGATGCATATTTCAGCTGCATATTTCAGGGGGAAATATTTAAGTACGATGCCACGTAGGCGATGTATCATTGTTTTATTTGTTCGGAAGTAGTAGAAGTAGCCTCTCTGTTACTTTTGCTACTTCATTTCCACTTCTGTGCAAACAAACATGCCCTAGTTGGTACTAAGTATCGAGATGAACACTTCTAAGATGACGTCATATTCCTAAATTTCCATAGGGATAATGTCGTTTATGGCAATGTTCAGCTGCAATTTCTTCGTAGGAGAACTTAGGAAAGTTGTGAAGTCGTAGGTCCACAGTAAACTTTCTCAGTGTTCTTTGTTTGGTTGCACTTCTATTGACAAAGAAAGATGAATAATTTGTCCCCAATGATACTGACATGACACTTAAGATAAATTCAGTCGAAGTGGAGTGATTTTGCTACAAGTCTACAACGTGCAAGAAAAAACATAAATTAGAATACACCGCTAACCCCAGCTGATGCTTAATCCTTTTTCGTTCCATTTTCTTCTGTTGTTCTCAGCCATCACAGACCTCTTTCCTTTTTCATTTTCAGTCATCAAAGGCCACTGCCGAGTGAGGATGTGGTGAGGCATCTCATGTTGTAGATTTTGAGGATTCAGGGTAGCATAAGGTAGGATCGATAGATATCTGCGTTTTTGAGGGGGAGAAATAGAATTTTGCTAAGTGAAGGATTTGTAACCGTAGAATAATGTTAAAAACAGAGATCTTGGGAAACAGGGGATTTGTGGAGCTTCATCTCTTTGGGAACTCACTTAAGGGAAGGGAAGGAAGCGTAAATTTTTCCTTCCCTTTCCTTCCCCTCCTTTACACTCTAGCTTGGGGTGTAACATTTTAGTGTAAAATTTCCGCATCTTCCCCTCCTCTACTCTCCCAATAAAACTCCCAAACAAGGTTAATTTCAAATTTCTCTTCCCCTTCCCTTCTCTACCCTCCATCCAAACATAGCATTAGTGATGAACAAACGATATAGTTGGCACAGAAGCTATTATAAAATTGTCCTGTCTGCGAACCAACATAGATTGCATTGTGGGTATTCATCTAAAACCCCCCAAAACACCCTAAAATCCCTCTAAAAAGCTAAAAGATCCGATCCTACCTTGTGCTTGAGATTCTGTAAACCTCGAGACCTCACAATTTAGCAACTTTCTCGAGTTTTACGTCAAAGAAGTTGCAACTAAATGTGCCCTAATTGTATGATTGTAATTTAATTAAGATTCTATCCAGTTTCTCCTACTAAAAAACAGTTGATGTACCACTACTTTTAATTGGGGTCGTCAATTTTTATTGACGAAATCAGATCAAAGGAGGCGGTATGGATTCTATTTTTTAGGTGGTACGTCTCGTCTTTTCTCTGTTTCATTAGAAGTAGCAGTCTTTCTGCTACTTTTAGCAGTGGAGAGGATTCAAATCGTTGTACGTAATTCCCCAGTTCTTTTGGAAAGAAATAATGATCATGTTATCAACTCAAAGAATCAGGCGGAGGAAGATATCACAAGGAGCACTTCACGTCTAGTGGTTTAATTATGTGTTGTTGAGTAGAAGTACTACGTTAAACAAATTGTTAGTTTTTTCTTATTACTCCATCTCATGCATTCCTTTTTTTTAGAGCTTTATTACCAATACCAATAAATCACCGGTATAATCAGTGTCCTTGCTTCTTATATCCCAAGAATCTAGCTGAACTGAACTTTTTCTATGCGATATGTACTTGCAATGTTATCCACAAAATCAAATATACATGATCAAGAAAATTGTGCAACTACACTTATTTTTCCTTCATCTCGATACATTATGAAGCCAGTGGAGATGCAACCGAGTCCTTTGAAGAAGTTGGCCACAGCTCTACAGCAACCAGCATGATGGAGGGCTACCTCATTGGAACCGTTGAAGGCCAGGTCAACACCAGAGATTCAACTGGAGCTCCGAAGCCTCCGGCAGGCGGTGGGGCCCCCAGGAACAAGGCATTGCTGGAGGCTCCTTCTTCAAGCTTCACTGACTATCTCTTGCCTTTGCTTGTTCTTGCCTTGGCCTTTGGATCTTGGTACTACCTTACTTTTATCAACAAGGCTTAGAGAGATTATGTCGGTTGGCTGAGTGGTGTATTGTTCTAAGATTATTATAAACATTGAATAAGTTGTCTAAAAGCTTTATATTGATGGGAGATTGAGAGTTTTTTTTTTGTACTAGAGGTATTGCTTAAGAAATAAACCTAATTACAGAGAATTTCTTGATTGCGACTATTAGAAGAGGTTGATGGTTTTATTTTCTTAGGAAATTGAGGGGTTATTGAAGTTTCAATGGAATGTATTGTTATTAATAGTTTGAAGAAATACTTGTGGACAAGTAGTATAAAGCTTGTTACATTATTACCCATGGGCAAGCGTTACCCTGTATCAAATTTCTCTCACAAAATAGGCATCTAAATCTCATCTAGATCCATTCCCTACAGCTTGAAGGCACGCTGGTTTATCAATTGATTACATTTCATAGGATCAAACAATGCTTGTATTCTGAATCTCCAAACTGTGTAATGTTTTTGAATAGAAAGTGGATTTATTCATCATATTGCAGTGTAAGGTTGAACCATTCTATCATTAATTAAGGTCAACTTGTTGGATTCGAGATGCGAGATGCAAGTCCTGGGACTTTTTTTTGGGTTTTTTTTTTTGTGGGGGTGGGGGTGGGGGGTTGAATAGGTTTGCTATAGTTTTTTTGCTAAAACATAGAATAAGCAAACGATCAAACGAATATTAGCGAAGGAACACATGAGATTTTTATAGTAGTTCGGAAAATAATCCTATATCTAGTATTTCTTCTCACGAAGGGACTTCCTCCATATACCAAGAATTCACCTGAATTACAATCAAATTTAGTAAACTTTGTTGAAAAAGGCGAAGAACTGTTGAAAAAGACGTGGAACAGAAAAAAAACTCTGGTCGGTCGACTGATAGAAGCCTTCAGTCGACCGATACGTGCACACTGCAGGAACGAAAAAAAATCACACTAGACAGTCGACTGACGACGTTCTATCAATCGACCGATAGCGGGTAAAACGGATATAGGGGTGTGCAACGGTCGGTTCGGTTCGGTTTTTACTAAAATTTGAACAACCGAACCGAATCGTCTATAATTCAAAACCGAACCGAACTGTTGCAAGTTGGTTCGGTGCGGTTCGGTTCGGTGCTAACTTCATCAAACTTTTTATCAAACAACAAACTGTGTTAAAGAAAAAAAAATATCAACAAAGTAGAAGATTATGAAGCATTAAACACTGATATAATGGTATTGTTTTCAACCCATAATGATTCAGAAAATGAGTTTAGGGTTTGAGTCTTTGACTTTTTGGGGATGGGTCGGGTAGGGTTTGAGATCAGAATGAGTAGTATTGCACTATATTCGGTCGGTTTGGGTCGGTTCGGGTTGAAAAGTTTTCAAACCGACCCGAACCGCCCTACTCATAAAACCGATTTTTTTGGGTCGGTTCGGTTCGGGTCGGTTAGGTCGGTTTTTTCGGTTTGGACCGAACCATGCTCAGCCCTAAACGGATATATCTGTTTCCTAGTCTGTTTTGGTTTAGGGTTTTATATATATTAAAGGCACGTTTTGTTAAGAGGGTTTTATCAGAGAAAAGAGAGTTGTTTGATAACTTTGAGAGGGAGATTCTTTGAGGATGAGTGAGATCTTGTTGGTTAGGATTATTATGATTGTTCAAGAGTTGTAACCCATTGTATTTCTCCTCCATATAGTGAAATCTCCTCATCCTCTCATCGTGGACGTAGGCAACTTGCCGAACCACTTATATCTCTGTGTTTATGATTGGTTTCAGCTGTTTTATTATGGATTGTGCTCGTGGTATTCTTCGTTCGTTGCTTATCGACTTGTTCTGGTTTGAGTCCGCTTCCGCCGAGCGCAATAATTGGTATCAAAGCATTGAGTTTCAGATCTAGGGTTTAATTTGGGTGGAGAAAAATTTAGTGTTGGAAGCTTGGATTTTGGAGATCTAGGTTTTGATGGAGATAGCGTTGTAGAGTTGTTATTGGAGATCTCGCCTTCCTCGTGTGGTTAGGAGATTGTTTTGACTCCTATCTATGGTTCAATTTGGGTAATTTCTCAATTCTATCAGTTGAAGAATTTTTCCTCTACAATTGGAGTTAGTAAGCAATGAGAGAAGAAAGTGGTGAAAGTAGTAAGGCTATGTCGAGTACAGTTCAGGTTGCACTTCAGAATACGAAGATTAGTATTGTGAAGTATGACGGCAAAATCAATTTGGATTGTGGATAAATGATGTGCAAGATGCGTTGAATGCTCAAAACTTAGAAGAAACAATAATGACTCATGACAGGCCATCAAAATATGATGAGGCAATATGAGACAAGATGAATCAAAATGCTTGTGGGGTGATCATGTCTTGTTTGGAACAAAAGTTAAAATATGATGTTATTGAAGTGACGTCTGCGATGAAGATATGAGAGATTCTCAATAACAATCTTACGAAGAGTGTTAAGAACCGATTGTGCTTGCTGCGAAGATTATTCAGATTCCAGATGTCAATGGGTACCTCACTTGCAGATCATGTGAACAACTATACAAAGTTATTGTCGGACTTGGCAAATGTTGATGAGAAGATATCGGATGAGTACAAGACGATCATTTTGTTAGGCTTATTACCGATGATGATTTTGACATCTTTGTACTTACATTGTTGAATTGTAGATATTCCATCACCTATAGTAAAGTGACTAATGCATTGACAAATTTTGATTTAAGGAGGAAGGATAAAGAATTTTCCAGAGCTAGTACTTCAGGAGAAGCCTTGTCAACAAGAGGAAGGAGTCCCTATCCTAAAGGTGGTAATCGGGGCAGGTCAAAGTTAAGAGACCACTACCAAATTATGAAAAATCAATGTGCTTTCTGCAGAGAACAAGGACATTAAAAGAGAGATTGCCTGAAGATGAGAGAGAAGGAGAATAACAAGAAGAAGGGCCTGAAGGCTAGTGAGGTGAATGTTGCTAGGAGTGGTAACGAGTCTGATGATTCATGCTTTTCTCTTTTGATTACTCCAGAGATTAATCATGCGAATGCATCGGATTGGATGCTGGATTCTAGTACTACTTATCATGTGATTCCCCAGAGAGATTAGTTTGCATCTTTTGAGAAGTTCGATAGGGGCGTGGTGGTCATGGGAAACGATCAGTCATGTGCCATTTGTGGGATAGGTACCATCAGGATTCGGATGCACGACTGAGATGCTAGAGAGTTGAATGAAGTAAGGTTTGTTCCTCGGCTGAAGAAAAATTCTTATTTCTATTGGAGCTTTAGAGGCAAAGGGATATAAAGTAACTTTTGAGAACGTTGTAGCTAAAGTTACTAAAGGATCATTGATAGTGATGAAGGGAGTCCGTAATAGAAATCTCTATTATCTGAAGGAAAGTACCGAGATTGGCCAGGTAGCTTCAATAGTTTCAGAGGCGGATGTTAGCAGACTTTGACATTTCAGACTTGGGCATGTAAGGGAAAAATCACTGCATGTGTTGTGCAAACATGGATTATTGAAAGGAGCCAAGAGTGGGAAAATTAAATTCTGTGAGCACTGTATTCTTGGCAAGAAGACTAAAGTGAAGTTGGGGATAACCATTAATAGGACAACCGACATCTTGGACTACGTACACACGAATGTTTACGGTCCCACCAAGACAGCATCATTTGGTGGTCGACATTGGTTCTTCACTTTTGTGGATGACTATTCTAGGCGTTGTTGAGTGTACACCATGAAACAGAAGAGTGAAGTCCTAGAGATATTTGTGGAGTGAAAAAAAAGATTAGGACTGCAGACAGGAAGAAAGATCAAGACGTTGAGATTCGACAACGGTGGTGAGTACACATCAACCCCCTTTCAGCAGCTATGTTGGGACGAGAGCATAGAGAGACACTTCACAGTTAGTCATACACCGCAGCAGAATATGGTGACAGAGAGGTTAAATCGGACTTTACTGGAGAAAATTCGATGTTTGTTATCGCAGAGTGGTTTAGAGAAGATCTTTTGAGCTGAGACACTTACATATGCGAGCCACCTCATTAATAAGCTGCCTTCATCAGCGATAGAGGTGAAAACACCTATAGAGATGTGGTCGGGAGAACCAGCACACGATTATGATCAACTTAAGGTTTTTGGGTGCCCTGCATTTTATCATGTCAAAAATGATAAATTAGAATCACGAGCTAGGAAGGCCATCTTTATGGGTTTTAAGCGTGGTGTGAAAGGATACAAGCTTTGGGATCCAGTTGATAAGAAGATTGTACTGAGTAGAGACGTCACATTTGATGAGGCTTCACTCTTGAAGCCTCCCAACTCTCATCAGGTGGAGAGCACCCCGACAGTAGAGATATCGCAGATGGTGGAGATTAATATAGCTCCACAGAGTCCAGATGAGACTGTATACAGTAGAGTGCCGACTGAGGTGACGCCAGGCGAGCACAGTGATGATTTGGAGGATATAGGTACAATAGAACAGGATTAGGGACAGACGACTCAGGTTTAGGATTCTATAGCAGTTCGGAGACCCAAGAGAGACATACGGTTGCCATCATAGTATACAGATACATTAGTTACTTTTGCACTTCCGGTGGAGAGTGTCGATGAGATGGTTCCTACTACTTTCAGAGAGGCTGAACAGTGTTTAGAGGCTGATATGTGGCAGGTTGCTATGCAGGAGGAGGTGGAGTCTCTTCACAAGAATAACACATGGGAGCTTGTCGAGCTTCCAAAAGGGTGGAAGGCGATCGATTGCAAATGGGTGTATACAAAAAAGGAGGGCATTCAAGGCACTCCCGTGAGATTTAAAGCTAGGTTGGTAGCGAAGGTTTATTCATAGGAAGAAGGTATTGATTACAATGAGTTCTTCTCTCCGGTGGTGAAGTACTCTTCTATTTGGATCTTACTAGCTTTGGTGACACAGTATGGATTAGAATTGGATCAATTGGATGTAAAATAGTATTTCTTCATAGTGATCTTGATGAAAAAATTTATATGACTCAGTCATTGGGGATCCGAGGTGCAAAAAATAAAAAATTAGTGTGTAGATTGAAGAAGTCGCTATACGGGTTGAAGCAATCTCCAAGATAGTGGTATAGACGATTCGATGGGTTTATGCTCGGCAAGTCATACATAAGGAGCCAGTTTGATCCTTGCGTGTATTATCGTAAGCTTCATGGAAGTGTGTACATTTATTTGTTGCTTTATGTCGATAATATATTGGTTGCTTCCATTTCCAGACCCGTCATAGTTAAATTGAAGATACAACTTTCTAGCGAGTTTGAAATAAAGAATTTGGGTGAAGCAAAGCACATTTTAGGGATGGAGATTGAT